AATAATAATAAACAGTTTAATTTCATTGAACAACTCTAAACAGCATATCATCTGTGAATGTTTTAACACTTTTTTCCTTATCTCATTTTTTTGAAAGAGAACACCCACGTACACACACTCTGTCTATGATGAGTGTGGTGATGATAATGAAAAAAAAATGTTAAAAGAAAAGAGAGAATGATATTCATCGTGTAACGCTGTATATCTATCTATAATTAACAGATTCTTTTTAACATTGTAAGACTTATTATTTCATAAAGATTAATAAAATAACAATCATACAGATAAAAAAAAAAATTATTACTTACTCTAAAATAAAAAACGTACAAAATATAAATTAAAATATTTCAAGTACTCATAGATGATCTTTAATACAGATTAACTAAATATAACAATAAAAAAAGAAATAAAATATAAGTGAATTACAACAGATTAAAAATAAAAAAATATGAAAAGAACTCTTAATACTCATAAATAAGGAAAAAAAATTGTTCCAATTAATAAACGAAATGTTTTTCGATGAATTAGTATTATATGCTTTATATGATCAAAAAGTCTCATCGATTCAAGAAGATGATGATACTAGCGTCGACACGCAAATACATAACAATAAACTATAAAAAATGTTTTCTAGCATATAAAAAAAAAAAAAGTTTCTTTTATTTCTTTGTGTATACAAATAAGTGCATCAGAATAGTTGAAGACATTATTTATATATAAATGTGGTATAGAAGAATTCAATTGCTTATACTACAATTAAAGATCAGAAAGAAAATTTAGTTCATTTTCTATTTAGTGCTAATTTAGTTAAAATTCAACAGCTTCTTAAGTAGTTTCAAAATACGAATTAAAAAACCTATCCTCATATTTTCTATAAATAATTTCTCATTGTTCATTCGTAACTCAATATCAAAGTTGTTAAATTAGCCTGATTATGTAAATTATATGCTATTCTGTCCTGAGGAATATATAAAGTTTACTCAATCTAATTTTGCTCTTATCTAGACGCATAAGTATATATACTCCCATCTTTACAACTTCTGAATAACTTGGCGCTGCTACACTATGAAAAAATAGTACTTTGCCTTTATAAGTAAAAACAAGATATTAATATGAATAATTGTTAAAAAAACAATTTTCTCGAAGAATTTTCTCCATAAAGAATAAGTTTTCATACTGTTCTTCGTCCTAGAGCGTGTAACCCTATCCGTAGGATAGATGCGAGTACAAAAGGTCTTACACAACACGAGCCCTAATACAATGATCGATAGTATAGTTGAGCAAGTTCTCTCTTAGAACACGATATAACGTTAAAGTCAACACAAATTATCTACATAATACGAGCAAGATTTAGTGCAAAAGTTAACTACTCCCTCAGCAATACAGAAAATACTGAGATAATTCGTCGTTTTTTTAGTTTGAAAAAAGTTTATATCTTGTAAAACTTAGACTGGTCTAAAGATAAACAACTTATGTTTGTTTTGTTTTCTTGTGGAATGAACAATTCAGATTGTTTTCGAATGTACAAAATGAAATGAAATAACATAATCTAGGTCATCGAAAACTGTGTAATTAATTGTCTATTATACAGTTATTAATAACTCATCCACCATCTGTTTAATACATATTTTTAGATCATTGCGATAACTTTTTGACGGATTTTAGGCATTTAAATTGGGAACGTTTGAATGCCTAAAGTGGCAGTTTTATTATGATCGACAAATAGACATTTTATGATGTCTGTTTTGAAACCATTATTGCATCATTATCAATCGTTAATGGCCGATTTTTCGAATGTTTTCTGAAATCAGCTTCTTTCTAATTGATAACCTCACAAAGAATAAATTCAAAAAGCTTCAATACTTTTGATTTCTTAGCATCACGATATCCATCACTAGTATTAGTCCAAGAACTAAAAATTACCTTCTCGAGTACAAATATTCAAAAGTTGAGGAAGAGTATACTCGCGTACAAGTACAAGATTTCTAAAATGCTAGGAGCTACACATTCGTTGTATTTATAATTTTTGTTGTCTTTCTATATCTGTCTACATCATAACCATTTGCTTCAAAGTAAGAAAACGCCTTATTTTTATTACCGCTCTGCCTTTTTATTCATATAAGTATGCCGTATATATCAGAGAATCAAACTTTTCTTCCTCATACATGTCATATAATGTTTATTCTTCATCGACTAATATTAGAACACTTTTGAGGACACCATTTTTTGCAACATCTTTCTTTAACATCTACAATGGAGTCATTTTTTTTTACAATCATATACTCACTACTCTTCGAAGTCTAATCATTAATACAATCCAAAAATACGAGTACAAGTACAAATATGTTTTGGGATTGTTTTAATGATTACTGTTAATGATGTATCAGTACTCACCTATCTCCATTTCTTTGAAAAAACTTTTGTTCCCCTTTAATATATTTGTGTCTTAGTTCAAAAAATCAAGAATTAGCCTGATTAACATAAGTTATACAAAAATTAGGATTCATAGTAAAACACTTTCTCGTGTATTCTTGTCCTGCCTTTTACTCTGCCCTCGTAATCAAATCAGCAGCTCAAAACTGTAAAGCTCTATTAAACCTTTTATTTTTCTGCGGAATACATGTATTACCATATATTTTAATTCTGACCTTCCAGAACTTTTGGATCTAAGTAAACGTTTTTGATCAATGTCGTTCTGAGATTTTTGACGTTTTTCCTTCACGACCAAAGAATGGCTGGAACACGCTTTCTGTAATTAATTTTTTCTTTCTTTTGTTTTTACCCGATCAACCAAGAGTTATAAAGGTCGTTTTGTTTTACTCAGATACATAGTGATTTCAGAAATTTTTTTTGTTTCTGACAAAAAAGTTTTATCACATTACAGTAATATACTACTAGCAATCAGCAAGTGTTAGCCTTAATTCTGACTTTAGTTATGAGAAACGGAAACGTTCAAGGGTCACCATCTGCCAGATACCCAGTTTCGTTCCTCCTAATATTAATAAAATTTTGACAGAATGTGCCTCCTACCCTCGAAGGAAAGCGCTAACATTTTTAGCTCGAAATGTTGAATTTTTGCATAGTTAGCTAAAAAGTAAAGGTAAAAAATGAGGTGTTGGCGCAACAAAGATTTCCTCTCCAATTCAACTGATATAGACTTAATCTCAAAATATAGTCAAGAAATGGAGGCACTTTAACCTTTTTTCTATTTAATTCTACCCAAGGTTTTACGGAAAAAATTTCGATTAATTTTTCGGAAAGCATGATTTTTCTTAAAAATCACAGATCCGGCTCTGTTGATTTTCGAAGATTTAACAGAGGTTTTTCTAAAGCAAATGATTTTCGATAAAATAATTATATACAGTGTGATAAATGCTAATGCAACAAAAGTTCCAATATTTGAAAGTGAAATCAATAAATCATAGTGTACTCGAAAGTGGACACTTTGGACTATCCAACCATGTTTAAGTTTCATAATAGATACTTTTGACGAAAATTAAATTTTTTAATGGAAAAAGAGGCACCATAAGGGCGATGGTAAAGAAAACTGATCGTACCATAGAATTAGAAAATAATTCGTGATTCCCATACGTCAAGGACACCAGAATAGCCAATGAATCACGATGATAGTGGTGCTTATGCGTATTAGACGCGACTTTTTGTTAGAATTCGCGGAGCGAGAATGTTATGAAAGTTGACTTGGTCTATCTAGGCCATAATATTGTTGATTACTAAGTATACTTTCATTCATATGTATGTGTTAAAATTACTTTTTTAATTTCAATATATAATATACATTTGGTGAACTGTTTTAGTCATAAAATAGTGTAAATTATAATGCAAAATGAAAACTAATATAATCATACCACCCACAGAAAAATAAGTTCATTTAGGCTTGCGGAAAAGTACTTTTTCATAGTCAGTACACTGAATAATCCCGAAGATTTTCTATTTTTGACGCGGGTTATTGCTAAAAGTTTAAGAAAAATTTTCATAGGAAAATAATAATAATTTCAACATTTTTCTTAAACTTTTGGCAATAACACGCGTCAAAAATAGAAAATCTCCCAAGTTATCTAATGGACTAAATACAAAAAGCGCTTTTTTGCCACTTTAAATGAACTTTAGTTATTTCTTAACGTTGATATGCGTGGGTAAGCAGCCAAGATGATCAGACAGTGTTTATAGCCCAACGAAAGATGAATAAAACACAAGAACTGCATGTTTCAATATTGAAAATTCATCGTTCGACGATTTTCTTGACAAATACACTCACTTGTGACGATGATGTTGTCGAATGCTGTTGTCCATATCTATGAGCAATAACCACTGCTAGTCTATATAGTTAGTATTTTTTTATGTACATTTAGAATGTGTAGCATCGGTTTACATTTGGGCATCGGTAAGAGAGATAATAATAATATTAGTCAGCAGAGAATGAATGTATAGATCTGTTTTTACGGCTTTTCTGATTTCGAGGATGGCATCATTATTCATGGACAGTATCCACGGGATGCTATTCATATCTTAAGGTGTATAACCTAAACTCTTCAGTGGTGGATAGTCCAGTTTATTAACTCCTCTCCAGATTAATAGGACATCCTATATTAGAAAGTCAGTCTAGAGTGAATCAAAATGTTTACAAAATCGCTTAGTAGCGCGGCTTTTTTGAAAAAAATGTTCTATGTGCAAACCCATAATAAAAAGTTATGCCTTTCTATTTTGGGAAAGGCTTTACCACCCACTTTATTATGTTCTATGCGGTTAAGAACACCTTTTCATTTAAAAATCATCGCCTACCCAGTCTTAATATACAATCTTCTACCAGGTTTTAATTCTTCTCTACCGCCATCTAATTACAAAACGAAGATTTGAGACCGAGCATACTTTTTACTGCTGCGTAGAAAGTATGAAAAAATACATTAAAGAGACTAGTTTACAAAAAACACAAACAAAAATAGATTTCAAAAACATTAATTATTTCATTGTCACTCTATTATTTACGCTTTTCGTTCGAATTTTTTACTAATTATTATTAGAATCGTATAAACTAATATGACAATTACAAAGGCTAAAATATAACATCCAAGGCTATAGCAAATTTGTTTACGAGTATACTGTTGTTGTCGTTGTTGTTGTTGTGGATAGAGTATTCCAAAATAAGCTGCCGGAATATTTGATGTTTGTCTTTCGCTATCGTCAGACGACGTTGATAATGATTCTGACGATACTAATGATAAACGATGTTCAAATGTTTGAGCCTGGAAACTGAAAGAAGTATTAGATACATAAATTTTGCACCCGGTTTAACCTGTCTACACAGTCTATTTATAATTGATTTCAAAACTTAGTAAACTTACATCTTCATGCGATTTTTCTTTCCAAATTTTTCTGCAAATTGGACACGTGCCATTTTGTTGTAACCATTTTTTAATACAATTATTACAAAAATGATCTGTATGTTCACAATTAATTTTTACTATAAATATGGACTCAACAGCATTTTCTTGGCAAACACAACACGAACGAGAATTTAACGATGTTAAAGATATTGCATCCATTTCAAAAATTTTAAGAAATATAACGTTCTAAGATAATAGTGGTGGTAGAAATGTTCCTCTGACCTTTTCATTCTCAATAGACAACACACATACACTTCAGCTGTTCAACGTACATACACATAAACGTCATCGTTGTCGTGGTCAGTCTTCAAACTGTTTCTATGCGTGTGTATAATATAAAAAGAAAGAAAAATAATCGATCGTCCATGTACAATTTTTCTTTTTCTGTCCGACCTTCGACCAACAAGCACTAACAGACGATATTAATCTAACCATATGATTGAATTGAACTTCGACTAAAAAGATGAAATGGTTTAACTATCGCATAGCATATGTCTTTGAAAATAAGTAAATAACATACATAATTGTAGTATCTAACGCCAAATCGTTGATCATGAGATGTTACGGAAAACCATAACTCTTATCGAAGAACGCTGGCATCCTATTTTGACTGACTTATTAGCACATTAATGTCACAATAAAAAAAAACACGAAAATCTTTAATTGAATTAAAGATGTGAGGCTGTAGCCGAAATAGATAGTAGTTCTCGTTAAGACTCAAAAGTGGAACATTCAAGTTGGACGCTGCTTGGAGATGGGACGTTTTGGGATTTAATCACCGCTACTTTGAAGCAGAACATACATCTGTTTTACTATATATGAAAACCTTTTATTCGTAGATTGAATAATGAGAGAAATTTATAAGTTACAAGAACATTATTGTTTTTAAGACTAATTATAGAAAATTTTCATATGAGTTAGAAAATTGAAAAAATTAACCTTTTCATAGGTGGTACAAAATAATATGTGGAACTTTATGCCTCAAAACTTAGGTGGGAATAGGCGCCACTGTTTAATTTGGAATCTTTGCTACTGGATCACATATAATGGCATTAAGTAACTGATGCGAAGAGACAAATTTTTTGTACATCCTTATAATATTTATCTCACTAAAATGAGCCCCTTATTACGACTTTATAGAAAACCTCTACCGTTACAAAGTTGTCGCTGAAATCATAATTCACGAATCATGCACTCTCTGAATTAGTAATAGAGAAAGCGACCATATTGTACGTGGATGGTTGAAGAAAACGTAATCCGAATCCGACCTGACTGTCAAAATGCCGATCCGACAACCTCGTGTACAATCGTTAATGTAGTTGTTCTGAAATAAGTATTTCAACTGAAACTCCAGTGGATATCATTTTCAAGTCAAATATCATATCATATCATCATATTTTTCAAGTAATACAAAATTGAAGTTATTATCTAATTTTGAATCGCGCTGCAAAAGATTCAATCCGAACCCGACTCTAAGATCGGGCCGGGTTGCAGGTCTCTATCATATTGTCAGTATCTCCACTTACAAATTGCCACACAGGATGTAATTTCTTAGGACCACGGTACTATCATTATTATCAATCCAAGAACTAAAGATCATCCCGTTAAGGCAAGTTTCGATGACTCATATAATCGGAGAAGAGAAATATTCTACGCTTTTATCAACGTCATATTTACATCAGTCTTAATAGCGAAACAAAAGGGTGAATATTTGGTTGACACATGATTAAACACTGGCATTTAAGTGCCAGCATTAAATACCAGCTTTTTTCTGATATATTGACTATTCAAGCGGACAGTTAACGGTCGATATGAGTTTCAGTTTCAAGTGCATACACACATGGTTAAATGTCTATTTGTAGGCCGTGATTCATGGTCATATAAAGGACAAAAAACAGTAACCGTTGACGGACAGTTTTTTAACAGTTTTTGGTTGATTAAAAGTCGTGTTTTTTTCGTTATACAGTTACCAGTCAAAAATCAGACTTCCTGATCAGGCGGCTGGTCACTCCCTAAGAACATTTTTGAACTTACCGCTAAAATCTTTGATGTTTTTCCGCAAGCAACTTTTTTCTGCCAAAAATTTAGAAAACGTTTTCGCCGGCCACTTTCGGTGAAGAAAAATGTTTAGCCCCTTCCATCCCTGAGAACAGTTGGAAACCCTGCAGCCAATGCATGAACTATTAAATGTTAGCCTTAGTTGACCTGGGAAGCAGTTCCAATTAGAACAACAAGTTTCATAGGCGGGGCATCTATTATCTTGTTGACCACATTTTTTGCAAAATTGAACAAAAGATCGTATAGAATACGGGTACGTCTCAAAATCTTCTGTACACTTTTCTCTTTGTTATTTAAAACACTCCAGAGCTCTGGGCATCTCGCCGTCCGAAAATCATAAGAGAAATACAATACAAAAAAGCGAGACAGAATATCACTCCGATAATAGAGTTCGCTGCACTAGGTAAATGATGATTACATAAGGCTGACTTCATGTTGATAGTGCATGAGGGCTCTGTAGAAACAAAAGAATAACTAACCGGTTTGAACCGGTAAGTGATCATAAACTCTCGCTGTCAACGTTTGTAATAGAAGAAAATATACTTTACAAACGACGCTTTTCCTTTAGAATCTACTTCTCATTTATAATGTTCAACAAAGCTTTTCAATCGTTCTTCAAGAGATATTAGTTATTCTTATAAAGCTGGTACTTACCTGATTTCTATGGTCTGTCTCATGAGTACATATTAGCTAATTACTAACAATTCTAAATGATATGCATTATACTCGCATAAGACAAAACCCTACTTGTTAAAAAAATATTGGTATTGAGAATTTTGTTTTAGCAAACGATTGGGACACCACTAGCGACGGGAAAACGTTCAGAAGTGTGATGTATGACTACTGAATTAACTGCAAAAGAACGAAAATTTTCAGATGATCTGATATGTGCGCTCTTTATGAGCAACGTACAATGAGCAATCGGTGTTTATTTATAATTGAAAAAACAAATACAAAACTTCATGTACAAATTCACAACAACCACTACAGTAGACATATGTACGATCGAAAAACTAAATGCAAGATTTTTGGACATCTTGAACTTCGTCAGTAAGTGAAGATTATTAGGCCATATTTTCAATTTCTCCTGCAAAACAGCAACATGATCAAATTTTTATTTGTATGTCAAAAAAAGCTTTTACGTACGTGCAAGTGGTTTATGCCCGAGCAATCTCATAACCCTCCCCAAATCGTAGAGATCTGCTTTATTGTCTTGTTTAGCCCATAACTCAAGTGTTCTTAAACATCGCTCATGTTGAGATGGACAATTATGCTCAATTTGATTAATATCATCGTTTGTTAACATTAATTCCTGTGCAATTATCTTCCATATTTTGACAATTTCATCTCGTTGACATATTTTACTGAATGGAACGATGAATAAGTCATCTAAAATTATCAAGTTTTATCATTATTAGCGCCGAGTTTTAAACCATCTCTAATTGAAGTTGACTGCTAGGACTAAATCGGTATGCTCTTAGCTTTTGAAACCACCACTTATCTTTAGTTCTTCTGATTTTTTAACCCAATAAGAAAAGATAAAACACTTTTAACAATTAAATGTTTCACTTTCCGATTTACTCAACTTATGACAGAGCCTATCCCTATTTAAATGGCACACAAAACCCATCGTTTACCATAATTCATTCGCCGTTCTTTTCTGTGTTCATCTTTCATTGTTTGTAATTCCTGACCTAGATCCCATCTATTGCAATTCACCAAGGCATTAATGAGGATAGAGATCTAGAGAATAAGTTAACTTTGTCAAAATAATATTGTTAAATCTTGTTAATATACGTACCTTATCGGCCGATTTTGGTACACGTTTAAACCATGCTAGAAGCATATGGTAACCAGACTCGTCACGATAATCATGCTGAATTGATTCAATACGAATTCTTGTCAAACCTAATTTTTTTGCTACTAATTTCCACTCATCACCGATTAAATTGTTTGATAAATCGCGAAAAACAGATTCATTCAAGATACCTAATGTATATGAGTAAAAATACCAATATTCATAAGTCTTTCAAAAGTGTTACCTTCATTTGTAAATGTTACAGGCGATTTTGGCGTTGTAGGACGACTTAATGTTTCATTTTGAACTTTTGGTAAACGAACCACAAGTTCAGCAAGTAAAACATCAGTTTCATGCCATTCTTGTTTAGTCTGCAAATAAGAAAACATAAAAATTTATCGTTTCTTCTTTTGTTGTAGAGTAAGATTCAAGTCTATTACTTCTATTCGTCTATTTATATCTGACTCTTTGGTAACGGTTCTGAGGACTTTTTGTTTTGAAAATATTTGAAAAAATCCATAATAAAATGGATTAAAATGTTGCGAATATTTATCAGTTTCATTTACCACTTCTTCCCAATAAAACGGAAAATTTGTGTTGAATGCAAATGGTATTTTTAATTGTTTTTGTTTTTGAGCTGACGATGGAAGAACATTTCCTCTAAATCTTAATTCTAATAATTGTCCCTCTTGTAACACGAGTTCTTTCATTTGTTCATCATTATTTGTATAATTTTCTTGACTTAATTCCTTATCCAATGTATCAATACGAGATGACGGAAAACAGACAAGACACACTTCATTGGGAGCGGTAATTTTTGTTCTCAGTAGTACAGTTACTGATCGTTGAGTAAGACTTTTATAAAGTAAACTAATGGTTGATTTTAGTTGTTTATTTGTCAAATGTTTTTCAACGCGTGCAACAATTAATCGTCCGTATAGTGTTGATAAATGAGTGGTGATCAGATCTTTTGTCTTTGAATCAATTAATCGAACACCATTGTCGACATGCCACGTATTTTCATTCAATCCACTATAGAGAAGAACAAGACGTTCAGTTTCACTATCTAAAGAACAGAGACGTACAGCGATATTTGTATAGGTAAATTGAAAATTCTTTTATCTACCGTCCCCTAGAACAGATTTGAAAATTTGTTGTTGCTGTTGCAGAAGAGTATCTTGAGATGACATTTGTACAGGATCATTTGATGATGGTGGTAATTGCTGATCTTGAGTTGGTTTTGGTGCTTGATGTTTAGGTGTTTTCTTCATTTGTATCAACATTGGCAAAGTCACTCCAATCTTTTTCAATAGTTCAACATCATCAAACATTAACTCGACTATTGGACCAACAGCAATTAAACCATCACAATCATGTGGATTACGTTGACGAAATTCAGAAAATGTAGGAAGATCAACTGGTTGAATCTAAAAGTAGCAAAATTTCATTGTTTTTCTACTGAATAAATCTGCAAAAAGTCATTTTTCTATATTTACACAAGCATCTATTCGAAAATCATTTTGGACAATATTTTGTTCCCATTCTATGGTAAAACGTTGATCAGCACTTGATGTATATTTTCCTCTTTTATCTTTGTTTATAATGATCTTATCCCGTTTTAATCTTGAAACGACAGCTAAGGCCATGGTTTTATACAATTTACATTCGACGAAACGTTTATCCTATAAAAATTTAACAATTATTATGAATTCAACGATGTTATTTTAACATACTTTGTGAGATTCGAAGAATATTTCCTGAGTATCCATCGATATCCATATTCCATTCGTATCTCTTGCTTTAATAACATTTTCTCTGTGAGTAGATCGTTTGAATATGTATGGCAAGGCAAGAGAGACTGACGATTCCTACATCATGTTACAGACAATGTGAATAACAAATGAGCATAATATCAACATGTAGCTCACCGGTGCTTCATTTTGAACAACAATTTTTAAGGGTGTGGAAATAAGTTCTTCTTGTACATCTAATAAATTTTCCGTTTCTGCTATTGGTAGATAATGAATTTGAAAGTCGATGGACCCTGCATTCGGTGATATACGTACAATACACGGTGGATATCGATCATCGTTTATAAATCTATTGTAACAAGAACAAAAATCAAACATTTACTCTAAACTAAAGCAACGCTGACTAACTCTTGCAAGGGCCAGTCTTGCTCCGGAGTATTTTGTTTCGTTTCTACTATTTGTTGTCGTTCTTGTCGCTGTGGTAATTCCTAAACAATTTGAAGATTTGAAGATATTTCTTCTCAAACATTGATTAATTAAGAAAAAAACCAGAAAACTAACCAATTTTCTGTTTCGTTCTTCTTGAACGCGCACTCGTCTTTCCAATTCTTCTTGCTTGGCTCGTTCTCTTTCAGCTTCTTGTTTTTGTTTAAATAATTGTTCTGATAACTGAGCCAACTGATCCGTTTCATCGGTGTTTTGTTCAATTTCTTGTGCTTTTTCTTCAATTAGTTTAGCTTGCTCTTGTAGCTGAACCGCTTGTAATCGACATTCAATTGCCTCAGCGTTCAGTGATAATAATAGTGCCTGTGTTTCAGCAGAATTTGAATGCGGTCTCTTGTGTTCTATAACAAAAGAGTTGCTTTCTCATTCAATATTGAGCGAGGATGTTTACCTCACCAAACTAAAAAGAACTGACTTTATCTCACTATACCTGTTTTGTCAGGGTCATTTTTTTGTAATTTTTTAACATCGCCTTGTTCGACTTTTTCTTTTATAATTCGATTAATATCCCCTAGTGATCGTTCAAATTCTTCTAGTTGTTTGTGTAAACGTTGTTGAAATTCTTCGGTTTGTTTTAAATAATCTTTACTTCCATTTAAAACTGTCGATAATTTATTAACATCATAATTATAAATACTTAGATTTCTTATATCGCCTATTTCACGTTGTAATTCGAATAATAAAGACGACGACATATCAATATTCTGATTCATTGTCGTCATTCTTTCATCGATAATTAATCTATCTTCGAATTAAATAAAAAAATTATTTTTATATATGAAGAAGTGTAAGACAGACGTGTTGATTGTTTTGAAGTAATATATCTAGATATACATATTGTCAGAAGCAACACAAAAAAAAAAAAGTCTTTTTTTCCTTTTTTTTTTATTCTTATTTAAATCGAGAAGTGAAAGGAAACATGAAAAAAAAAGTTTTTTCATTTCAAAATTCTTTGTTGCTTTTTTTTTGTTTTGAAAATTTTGTCAATATTCACATTCTACTTCTCTTCTTTTTTTTTCTAAAACACACATTTCAATTTTAAATATGTGGATAAGATCATTTAAACACTATTATAACAATGTTATTTTATACCCTTTTCTCATATATTGTAATGACTAACTGAGTACGCATTTGTACAATTTAAAAAAATATTTGTTTTCTTTATACAACAGAAACCATTTATCGTCTACAAATATCATTCAGTGTATAACCTTGTACGAATGTTAGAGAGTACTATAATAACTTCCTTTCAAAAATGTTAGTCTATGAACACAAAATAGTCGAATATTAACTTAAACATCTTTTAGATCTAGAATTATTCAACTAACAACTAACAAATTGCACTTCTTTAAATATTGTATACTAGTGTAAATATTTTCTTGTTTTTTGTCAAACAGAAACAAGAAAATTCAATCGTAACTTAAAAAATGCTCTAATGCAATTATTAGTGGTGTTCTTTAATCCACTTAAAACCTTCTCAAAACATACTTGATGATGTCAATAATAGACAAGAACTTTTTTTATGTGAAAAAACATATAAAAATAGCTAACATTACTATTGTCTTAACTGTTATCTCAACTATATACCCATTATATCAGAAGAATAAATATAAATACCTTTTTTAAATCATTATTATTATAGGCATGAATAAGAGAACGTGTATCGATTTTGACTTTGTAATATTATGTGTGTATATGCCTTTACTTTTCGCACACTTACAATTCTTTCAATGACGTTGAATCTTTGATTCTCGATTTATTTTATATTCATTTTTTTCTCACGATTATCGCAGTCTTTAAAATATCTAACAAATATTCTTATACATAGATAGATTCAACTCTAAATCTATCCGATAGTAGATGCCGAAACAGTGAATAAAATGAGTTGAACCAGAGGTGGAACAGAAACTGACCAGTTGAAAAACAAAAAAATTTAAATCGAATAATGAAAATCTTTTCTTATTCTTCAAAAAGTAGACGAAATTTATGGTTGACTATTTTTTTTAGTTAGAATGAGAAAATTTTTACACTAGATTTTATCTTCTTTTTAAGTTCTGTCAATCCTTAGAAACTCTTTTCTTTTTTTACTTGTAAACACACCAAAAAGACTGTATCATTGTTGCTGTGGTGTCAGCTTTCTTTGCTTTTATTTTCCACCATACATAGCTCTATGTATGCGAAAAAAAAGAAAAGTAGCAGTTGAAAGAACACATAGCATAATTATATTTCAGCAGCAACTTTCTTTACTTTTGAACCGTATGTATTAGGACTGTAAAATAAGAACTTTTTTCCCTACATCCATCTGATATAAATATTAATAAGCGAAGTGCATACTTTCTGTCAACTAGAAAAGTAAAGGTCTTCGTTGAGTGTATATAGTTAATTATCACACTGAGTAAATGGAAAGAGAATCCTATTCCTGCGGATACGTAATTATATATTAAAAAATGGAAAAGTATAAGCTTAAATCATAAAATCTTCAAATGATACTCAAAAATACTCTTTTAAAGAAATTTGCCTTGAATAATGAGAAAATTTTTGTGATTTCATGTAATCTTAGTCGACAACCAATTAAATGAAACTAGATAGCCTATAAAAATATGATCCAATTCTATTAATGAGTTGAATAACAAAAACACAGCATGTAACATGACTTTAAGTTCGGTTGGTATACGTGACACTTAACTGATGAACGCAATATACATTATGCCAGGTATAGTACAAAAAAAGCATTCTAAAATTAAAAACAACTTTAAAGAAAATCGCTGAGAAATGAAAGAATGAAATGATAAATAGCATTGACAAAAAATACATGAATAGGGATCTTAGAAACAAAACAATTAGTTATGGACAGATAAAAATTCAGTTTTTCTCAAGAAGAATAGTGTATTGTTCGAGCCAGTTTATTCGACTTATTATCTCACCTCATAACTAATCTCATCAAAAGTTTAATTGAAAATAAAGGTACACTATCTTCTTTTCCCTTTTATGAATCTAAATTATTTCACTCGGTTGTCATATTAATATTTCTATCATTTTATGCTTTGAAAATTGTTCATTCTCATTAAACAGAAAAACTAAAAACTTAAAGAATTTTAAAATATGATCATCTCATCTTTATATGCAACCATAACTTAGATTTATTTTTTTATCAATTTGTTTCTCAAAAAATGTCTTTGTTTAACGTTTGTTTTTTCTTTCATTGTTGCTTATGAGGCGTGTACAAGAGAAATGTTATTGAATTTTAATAACACAAAAATATGCTAAATTTTCTTTTTTTATTACTCTTTAATGTTGACATATCTTTTTAAGAATGAAAAAATTATATACACACAGCGACGAAAAACAATGTAGGCTGATCTATTATTCCAAAACAACAAACTATTGTTTAACATAACTTTGTCGTCATTGTTGCGATTTCTACATTGATTAATATATCTATATTATTTTTTCTATCCATTATATAATTTAAAAAAAAAAAAAAGACGAGAAAAATGCAACGTAGGTTGAATTCTTTTACTAGAAAATTTCATTTATTTAAAAAAAAAAAGTACAATATGAAACCTGTTGATTACTTACTAATACGATTTGTGATGAGAACGATGATTAGTTGACCCTTTTGTCCGTAGCATTTTTACCTTTCAATCATAAAAGTAAGTTAAAGTACAAATTATTCAAAAGTGTAAGGTACAAATGCTTAAATTTTTTAATTTAGAAAAATGTTCTTTGCTTTTAAAATATAAAATAGTAAAATGTCCTTGATGGATACATCGAATAATCGAGAAAGAATGACAAGAGTAACCCTTGAATAATTGACTTATGACACCATACTGCCTTCAACATGTGATAAAACTAAATTTGGTGCTTGTAACAAAATTGATAATGTCCCGACAATTGTGACAATTATAAATAAAATTAATAACATGCGATCTATCACAGAAGCAATAAATTTCCAATCAGTTAAAATCTAAAAGAACGATAAATTTTTATTATTTTCATATATTGAACTAAAGAATAGAAGAACAATCAATTGCTTTATTTTTACCTCTATATTACGACTTTCTTCTTCAAATTTTTTTGATATACATTTCATATCATATGCTACAGCTAAAAATTGTAAAAAAAAATAATTTGTTTCCGATAGTTCATTTTTGAATTGTGTCGATGTTGTTCTTTGTGATAATAGACCATTAGTTAAATTGACTATTGGTTTTAATTTACCAAGACAATTATTGATTAACGGTCCAGAGTATAATTCATATTTTAACGATGATCTTCGTCGTTTTCGTATATTTATATTTGAATAGGGTCGTCTCAGTAACAAAATAGATGGTAATATTTCAACAAAAATGAGACGAATCCAATTTGGAATAGGATTTAATGTTGAATTTTGATAATGAACATTTAAAATTAATGTTGAGGATGCAACGGTCAACAAATTGAGAATAAATGTAAACATAAGATATTTTGATATTAATGGTACATTGACTGATGTCGGTGGTAATATTTTTGATATTAATAACATGAAAAAGACAAGTGCAAGTAAAATAGAAACACATAATGTCATTTTTTCACCAGCTTCACCAGGTAAATAGAGAACGGTAACACTTAAAAATGACAAGATCATTGTTGGTAATACCAAATTAATAGTAAAAAATAATGATTTACGTCTCATCACTATTAAAAAAAAAAAAAAATCTATCATTTAACATGTACAATATAAAGATTAATTACCTACCAATAAGAAATACAGCTTCTGTAGTTTCATAGGACTTTTCCTTAGAACGAATGATTCGTATTTCTGCTGGTGCTCTAACTAATGTCCACGTACCCGATGGAACATAGTCACTTAATTCCATTTCTGGTAAAGAATACCATCCTAAAAATATAATAAAGTTCTTAGTTCAAAAAGAAAATATGTCAAAATATGGATGAGACACTTCACGATTCAAAATAATTTTAAGATGAAAGAGTGATATTTTCACTACATTTTTGATAAAAAATAATTGACTTTACTATTCATGTCATACGAAAAAAACATGTTTTCTATACGAATAATGATATGTTCAGTATAACCAGGTTTTTTTCCAACTCTTAAACTGACTCAAATTTTGCACAATTATTCATCTATGTCTATTGCATCTACGAACTTAATTCAAAATAATTCGAATCATGGCAGGGTTGCAACCGGTCTAAAACTAAGAGGCCGGTCCCCAAATCTTTTTAGATCGATGAAAAATCGGTCGGTTTTCAGAAATTTCTTAGACGGGTGGAAAGCTGGCATGGTGAAAACCTGCAAAAAAACGGCCGGTTGAGAACCTTTATCAGTAAAACTAAATATCTTTAGGAAAAAGTGGTCTTCACTAGCTTTTTCTTATTTTTCTTAGTTATTTTATCAAGTTTCTTTTGAATGAAGACGAGAAGAATGCTAAAACTTCTAAAAACGGCAAAAAACCGGTCGACACCGGCAGCTTTGAAAATTTTTCTAGACCGGTGAGAACCGGTCGGTCTGAACTTTTAAACCTGACTGGGCCAGCATGCAACCGGCCCGGTTTCAACTCTGAATCATGGTAGATCGTGCATAAGTTTTTCACGTAAAATCTTTTCTCGTTTCAAAAAAATTTTCAGTCAGAACAAATGATATACATGAATAAGCTTAAAAATACTCAATGAATAATGTAGTTCTCAAACAATTTCTGAGAGACTTTTTCTCTGTCAAAATATTCCATCTAGCCTATATTTTATGCGAAAAACTAGAAGTTTTTAGCTAAATTTTTTTCTTGCGAGAATACTATTTTTAGAGTCATTTTAAGTCAAAAACAACCATTTTCAATGATAAAAAAAACTTTAATGTTCATCTGTCTATGACGTGGGCAGCTAACCGTCCCCTTCAAATCAGAAGATCAAAAAATATTTTCTATCTAATCAAATCGAAAAGAACGTTGCTAGACGCAGTTTTTCACGCTGATAAACGAATATCAAGTTTGAATTTCTTGAAAGACAAATTTTAAATCTGAAAATTTAAATTTCAAAATTATACTGTCGGATAGAGAATTCAATTCTTTGCAAAACAGCGTAAGTTCATTTTTTTGAACTTCTAAGATTTAACGCTAATTTTAAAGGTTTTCTGGTTCAGTTTTTAAAAACGATTTTTCAACAAGTCAAACAAGTTTGTTGATCTTATTTCAAATTGAATAGAACAGAGCTTATCAAAAACTGTATATTTCCATAAAAAAATGGATGTTTTTCGGAGTATCGTCGCCATTGAGTTTAATCTTCTGATATGAAACATTGAGAAAGATGATGACATTCCGTAATGGAGGGTATTCTGAGATTTTTATTTGATCTGATGACTTATTTCAAAAATGAAGTAGATATTTTGAAAGCTCGTCAAAAACTGCACCACTTTCATCTAGAAAATTTCTTTGTATGATGCTTCAGTTGGTAGAAAAATGCGAAATTTTACACACATCCAAAAAAAAAGAAATTCCATCTTTGAGAATTCCGTAACCACCTGTATTTTCCTAATAACTTCTGTCTGACTCAACTAAATTGGATGAATTTACTTTTGGTAGTAAAATTCATAGTTTTCTGTCTGTAGTAAAAATTTCAGAACGTTATGTTTTACAGTTACTGAGCGACAGCTCATACAAGACGAAAAAAGAGAATTGCATAACACTTGGCCACGCTGTTTAATAAACTGCATCCTCTTCTGCTTTTCAAAATTTTTACTCTAAATTTTAGAATAAAATAGTTCGTACTTTACTTCAATATTTGTGTTCATTCTTCTAATCCCTAAAGTATTGGAACGTTCTCAATCAAAATCAAACGTACTTACCAAATCGAACTTGTGAAACATCAAATGTCCACGAACCAAAACGCAACTCACATATTTGTTCATCTGAGAAAAAAAAGAAACTGATTGTATTAACAAAAATGAATAATATAAATAGAATATTATAATAATACACTTACCAAACGGAAAATATTGCACATTTATTGTCTAGTAAACGTCTCAATGAGAAAAAAAACATAAATATTATTTAATTACTACGTCGTATTTTACTCACACAAGAACACTTGTAAATTGCCGGTGGCACCCACATAATTTGTCCGTCAGAAGAAATAACTACATTTGATTTATATGTTACTTCATAGTTTCCATCGGCATTATTAAATAAAACAATATCAGGTGTCCATACCGTTTCATAGGGTACTCGAATACTTTCTAATCTATCTGTATATAGAAGAAAATGGATATTATTAAAAAAAAAAAGGTTTAAAAATAACAACAACAAAAAAAAACAAAAAAAACATTTCTATATACCAAAATGATCTGGATTCCATTTTAACTGATAGTCCATCCAACGAATTTGTAACCAAACATTTACTTTAACAATTTGCTCTTTTTCATACTAGAAAGAAAAAAGATTTTCATAAAATTTAATTAACTAAATGAATTTAAATTATATCCATCACATACCACATTTATTATTTGTGACAATGATAAACCAACATAAACATCTAAAGCCTTACTATAATTTATCATTGGAGTAATTAATGGATTATATTGAGAAAATAGAATTTTCATTAATTCTTTTTCAAACTTATTAGTGGCTATAAAATAAATATACAACAAAATTTATCTATTCATTTTTCTTTCTCTTATTTTTTCATTTGTTTAACAAACCATTTACTATTTGAATATTATATAATAAACATAAAACAAATGAAATTGACATAGATCGTTAAGTTCGTTATTAAAATAAATTTTTTTAAGAAAAATTTTTTTTTTTTTTGTTTTTTAATACTTTTAATCCATCTTTTGTAAATGACAATAGTCAGTTAGATTTAGTGAATGGAACATTGACAAGATCGTGTGTTTGTAATAGCAAATCTTATATATTCGATACTCAAAGAGAGAGAGAGAGAGAAAAATAACAGTTTTTTTATTACTTAGTTTATCATAAAAAAAATAACAGTTCAACCAAAAAAATGTCTTTTTAAAAAAAAATCTTCTCAACCAGTAGAACGAATCTCTGCTTCGTCTTTTTCTTTTTTGTTCATATCTCTATGCCGAACGAGAGAAAAATCGTTAAATTAATACTTTGACAACTACATATATTCAAGTATGTCTGTCTACTACAATAAGAGAGTTTTTCTAATCTAACAGAGAAGAACAAACGAACATTTATAGATGAAACAAACAATAGTTGGCAAAACAAATTCTTATAAATATTTGAACTTAATCAGATTAGAAAAATCAATCAAGTTGAGTTTATAATAATAATTTTTTATTTGAATATTATTTAGTTGAGAGGATAAATATTGAAATAAAAAATGTTCTAATATTAAAATGAGAAAAAAATTAATTCAAATATTTTTCGATCATATTGTAAATGACTTGTTTTATTGTATTGGATAATGATTGTACATCTGTGAAAATAAGTTATTATTAAACATTTTTTCTTACTTTTTTTATAAATTAATTAGTAAATGAATATTCATATTGTTAAATAATATTTGTTAAAAATAAAAAAAGACAATTCTCTCTTGATTAGATCTGATGATAGTAACTAATATTTCTTATATTGATTGATAAATACATTGAGAAAATAATATAATAATTACATAGGTTTCCGGTTCGTGTTAATCATTTTATTTCAATATATTTACTTCTGTATTTAATTTCAAAAATTATATCTGTTTTTATTTCTATCTTATATATCATATTATTATAGTATTAATCTTGTATAGGGCTAATAAATCAGGCTTGCTTCATTCATTTATTACTACAAAAATTTGAAAATATGATGTTTCTTCCGTGTAAAATTATATTTAAAAATCTTAATGTACAAAAAAATATAAAAACAGAGACAATCGAATCATCACAAACGTGCTTATCAACATATCATGTCCAGGCATTAAGAATAGCCTGTTGATCAACAAATTGAAAAATATATGGAGCATTAAATAGAATACCAAATGTTCCAGCAGTGGTTACAGCAAAAAAGACGTATAATTGAAGTCGATCAATAACGGACGCTATATATTTCCAATCATCACGAACCTAAAAAGTATGATAAAATCAATGGATATCTATATTATAAATTTGACAGATTAGAAATACACATGAATTGCTAAAAAATAAACTATTTTTTCTCATTTGATAGAAAATTACATGAACTTTGAATTATTGTTCGTGATTTTTTTGTACTATAGAGATCAAACGACTTGTCCAATAGCGACAATTTTTTTTTTTCATAATATATCTGAGTCTCACGTATAAACTGTAGAAATATTAATATTTAAAAAGAGTACAATAATAGAATACCATTTAGTTTTAATAACTTCATCTTCTGTCGTCATATAACTGGTATAGTAAAATATTTATCTGTCAATAATTTTTCCACAGAAGCAAAAGGACTAAAAAAAGAGGTCATGTCTTTCATGCATTTATTACATGTGATACTGTTTTAATTATGCAAATACTAAAATAAAGTTATATGATCATATGTTTCATCTTCAACGATAGTGATGGTATTATCAGAGGATCCTATATATTTTAAAAGGTTACATACGTTTATAAAAAAAAAAAAGTATATCAATGTGCTAAAAAATTGATTCAGTCGTATTCCCATAGTATTACAACAAAGTCCTGTATACACATACACTTTTTGATAAGAAGAGATAAATTAAGAATTTTTCAGCATAGACTTACATACATTTTTAATACATCGTGTTATCATGTCACAAAACGTTTTTTCTTTAAATTATGATACCTTTCATTAGTCAGAGTAACACTTCATAAACAGAATTGGAGTCCTATGTACCAATGTTATTATTATTTTTTATTTCATTGACGTATGCCCTACCTAATTTCAATGATGGATATACTCTATTAATCTTAGATAACTATTCCCGAAAGATTATGTATCTATACTTTATCTTAACATAAGAGAATAAGGATTCATTACTTAAAAAAAAGAAATGAATTATTTACCGCTTCATATTGACTTGCTGTTCTCATATGATTTGCTACATAACGTAAATGATCAGCAGCCTCATATGCTTCTTTTGTTAGTTTATAATCGTCGTTGGTATGATCATGACTGTCAAAATCATCTTCATCTTCATCATAACGATTTCTTTGAAACATTGTTTTATTCATTTTTGATCGTGTATTATCACTTGGATTATTCGTATGTTTCATTGTATCATTAATATATTTTGTTGTCGATTGTAGACTTGAATAAGGGTGTTTTCGAAGTGTACGCTTTTTTAGTTCTAGTTTTTGTGTATCACTCATTGCTGGACTAACAATGGATAGAGCTCGTGCTGCTTGAATATAGGTGGCATAATTATGTTTAGTATTTTTTTCCTCTAAGTCGTTATCTTCCTTTTCATATTTTTTTGGACGTTCCATACATAATATTCGTGGAAGTATATCAATACATAGTTTTCTTACCCACATCGGCATATTGTGTGTACGTGGCGTTCGATAATTCCAATTAATAATGACAACAGTTTGAAATATGGTGATTATATTCATGATGAACGTAAATAGTAAATATTTAGCGATTAATGGTATAACAATACTTGTCGGTGGTAGAATTTTTGATATAAGTAAGAGAAACACAACTAAAGCTAGTAAAATTGAAATTGATAATGTCATTTTTTCTCCAGCATCAGCTAAAAAACAACAACAGATACTTAAGTCTCCACAAAAGTCACGAGCATCTCAGAACAGACTTACTCGGTAGATAAAATACAAATATTGATAAAAATGAAATTAGCACCTGAAAATAGTGTAAGTAAATCATTGTTAGAGTTTCATTTCTTCGAGCAGCATCAAAGAAGTTCTCTGGATCAAATCACAGATGAACATACATACGGCCTAACAGCGCTATTGGATGAAATATGCGAAACGCTTACCGTTGGGACTATCAAGTTAATTGTATAAAATAATGTTTTACGACGAATAACAAGTTTACACACGAATTCGACACGATCACGTGCATCAGCCTGATCGAGTCTAACTTCAGTAACACTACTCTCCGTTGAAGAATTTGATAAGCTTAAAGCTCGTTGTGTGGATGATGTTAGTGAAGACGACGATAATCTGCTATTTGCTTCGTCTTGTATAGACATTGGTCCATCGATAAGGTCCTAAGAAAGGAGCATAAGATTATATGTTAGGATGCTAAACAGAATGATCAGCGCTCGCTTCTAATTACCCATGAACCACTAACAACATAATCTTTCACTGTTACTTTTCGTTGATCTTCTTCATAATAAGTAAAATTCATCTGACGATGATCGTAGGTCCAAGAGCCAAATCGAAGCTCGCATGTTTGTTGATCTGGAGAAATAGTTTAACGATATGACATTAGTATGAAAAACATTATATAAATAAAGTTAAAATCTGTCCTGTCTACAAGTAAAATGGTCAGATTATATTACTAAGCAGAATCTCTGTCATATATTTGTCCCCAAATTGATGTAGTTAGGATATAAATTATGAAGTGTTTAATACTTTGGAACGACGGTAGTATCGTCTTTTCAAAGCATAGTAGACCTTTTGAATGATCTTCAACACGCTACTTGCGAAGATTGCAAAAGTACAGATTTTTTCAACATTAAAAATGATTCTCATTTAAAAACACATCAATGGAAAGAAATGAACGTCTAATTAGGTGCAACACACTCTACAAGGTCATGCAAAATTTGAAAGACCTTGTAAGAAAGCTACAGGACCTTACTAAACTTTAATATGAATCATGTCACAAATTTTAGTACATGGGTACAGAAATGAAACTTCAAAAAATGAAACTAACTAACTGTATGTAATTACTATGATACTTCATAGCCATAACTCCTCCAGTACCTAAGGAAAAGACACTTCCACTCCATATAATCCACATGGAGTCCAGGAACATTAATGACGTTGTAAAAAAAGAGCCAACTGTTTATCAGCAAGAATTATTTTTTCTACTTTTCTAAACATTAACTAACTAGTTGTTAAAGCTATCGTGAGGTAAAGTAAAAACTTACCAAAAGGAAAGAACTTGACATCAATATAACAACTTGACTTATAAATAGCAGGTGGCACCTGAATAAACAAGAAGGTTGATAAAAATAATGAAATGAATATAAGCTTATTTACCCAATTCATATCACCATTAGAATAGATGACAACATTGCATTTGTAACTGGCTTCATATTTTCCATCAGCATTATTACTACATACATTGAAGAAACATTACTTTTCAACATTAACAAATACTCTCACTTGAAATACTTACAATAAAACAAGATCTACAAAATATGAAATTAAACAATGTAACAGATGACTAGGTCTTACATAGTGTTTTATACCTGGTGTCCAAACTTTATCAGGTGGTACACGAATTGAACCAATTCCTCCATATTTTTCTGGGTTCCATTGAAGTTGATAATCATACCATTTCTATAAAACATCAGACATTCATGATAACACATATTCATAAAGCAAAATAGTATGAACATTTCTAGATATCCATTAACTGATATTTGACAGTATCTTTCATCAGCAGAACAAAACATCGATTAAGAGATGAATGACGCTTTGACATATCCATCCTTTTTTCAATAAGTGATTGTACACCAAAAAGAACATCTGATTTTTTTAAATGTAGTAATCAACTTACGACTTGTAACCAAACATTGGTTTTCATTACTTGTTCTTTTTCAACCTAAAAAAAACACAAAACAAAAAATTTCTCATTGCAAAACTATGATCATACTTGTAATCAAATGGTAAGCGAACAATCTTAACCAATTGTTTCTGAAACTAGCAAAAAATGTTTTTCTTGAATGTTCGATCATTCGAATTCTTTTAAACGATTCTCCATTATGTCATACAAAATAAGCATTTCTAATAATACTAACCACACTAATAAGTTGTAGCAAAGCGATACTGAAATGAACCGTAATTGTTTCTTCAACTTTTTTAACTGGACGTATGAGAGGATTATAACCTTTGAATATATAGTCGTACAATTGTTCTTCATGATACGAGCATAAGGCTGAAATAATAACAACAAAGCATCCTTTAGTTGATAAGCAAATTGCATAGTATTCAATGAAGAATTTTGTCTATTTTTTTAATTCATTTTTAACATTAATTCTATTTAGTTTACTAACCGTCGTTAATTAGTGGTAGAATATAGATGACCAGCAATCCTTCTATCAAACAAGAACGTATCATTTATTCAAATCTATAAATGAAAGAGAAAGAGACAATGATCAAAGTTACATTTTTGTCCATTAAAAAACGATCTTAACTTACTGTGTTGAAATCACTGATGTATATAAAGATCTCTTTTTTCTAATTGAAGAAAGACTATTTGAAGCCTTATAAGACAAAAAAAGAGAGAGAAGAAAAGCCATCAAATAATGTCATCTAGATAGATATATTCTTCCACGTATATAGATATTACCAAAAAAAAAAAAATATATAAAAGAAAAACTTCTATTTATTTACTGTTTACACAATAAGATTTTCATTAGGATGAGAGAAAAAAGGTTAAATGACCAGAAAATCTTTGACGTTCATCAATATAAGATTATAATAATATTTCAGAGGTAGATAAAATATTTAAAACATTTTTCTTAGTATAGGTTAACTTAATTAAAACTACAGAATATGAAGTTTAACTCTTCAGAGTCTCAGACAAGAGTAAATTGAAAAGACTAACTACTAGTCATCAAAATTCAATGTACTATCTCTTAAATTCTATTCACTGAGTGCATTAATCGGTAGTTCGATCTTTTTTATATAAAATTTGATTTTCTTATGATTAAAAAATATCCTTTTGTCTAACTATCTATAGATATAAAGAGTTACCGTAAACAACACATCTTATTTCTTTTGTTCCAGATATCCATATGCACGGATGAACACAACAATAATAGAAAATGTTAAACTGTCACATATGTTTGTATGTACGATCTGTTATCTCTCATGTATTTACTTCATTTCTAGAAAACGAAGAAGAAGAAGGAGAATAGGAGTTAAAAGAAAATTATGGAAAAATAAACATTTTTAACAAATTACGTGATTGCTCGTAAAAACGTTTTTTTTAACATTCATTAGATTTTATTTATTCATTAGATTTTATTTATTCAGAAAGGGATTATCGTTCACTACGAGTATATGGTAGAACCGAAAGTCATTCGAATAATCTTATTATACACGTTTTGATATAATCTCTTACTGTAGTCAGTCTTTCTATATTAATAGAATTAGTACCAAGAGAGAAAGAGAGAGAGAGAGAGAGAGAGAGAGAGGGAGAGAGAAAAGAAAGAAAAACAGTTTTTCTTAGTATTTGTTCCTTGTCTTCTTTTCTTTGATTAGACTAGATATCTATGGTGTAGAAATAGAAAACTGTAAAACGAAAGGAAAAAAATCTATTTTCCATGCTCGTTTTAATCTATAACAATCACTTATAAATATACTAGTAATGGTTGTCATATCTATCGATTTAAAAACACAAATTTAACAATTACAAAAAAGAAAACTGTCAAAACTGCTAAAAAAAGGAAATATATGTGACACGCTATAGTACCAAAATGAAATTTCACATTTTAAGATTTTATAATGACATTAAATGTTGGTAAGTAGTTTATACTGCTTTTTTAATTTCAAAAACATATTATTTCTAATATAAAAAGAAATTTAAACTAAATATTTATTTTAGAAAAACTGCTTATAGATATCACTACTTAGTATCTAATTAGACGGTTACATTCTTTTAATTTTTCTATTATTCAGTTTGAAGTCATTCAGTTCGCTACATATAGAAAAGTTCAATTTGATTAGAGACAGTTTACATTACTAAATAAGAGTATTAACTAAAAACATGTCTCTTTTTCTCTCAACAAGTTTATAGTGGGTAGTTATTTCGAAAACTCAGAACAATCTGCCAACACTTCTGATCAGTAGGCCTTTAGAATAGAACAATTGATTAGGAAATTAATACAACTCTAATGCATTCAAAACAACTCTATACTTTCATGCTTACACTAGTTCATTGCCTTGTTCAAAGCATATTAGAAATGATATTTATGGATTAGATATCTATCAATAGGTATAATACTATTGTCTAATTAGTGCATTTTTCAATAACTAAATTATTAAGAAAACAAAAAAAATATATTAGAACATCATTGGATAATAAAATATAAAATGCAGTTGTTTAATGTAGAGTACGTATATCAACGAAACAAAAAGAAGAGAAAAAGATCTCTCCCTAAGATAAAGATAACAGCAGTAATCATTCGTTTTTCGTATAATAATGATAGATTTTTTTGAATGCCAAAATCTTAACGGAAAAAAACTAACAAATACACATACATAGTATATAGAAGTTCTCATGTAATTATGTTAAATAGCAATTGTTTACTTTAAGCAGTTTTCCCTCTTTTTCTCCCTCTCTCTGTCTCTCTCTCCCTCTCTTTGTCCTAGACATAATATATCAGCTGTAAAAAATATCAATGTATAAAAACTAGCAATGATTATGTGAGTAAACCTGTTTTCTTACACATGCATCATAAAGCACAATGACGCAATTATCTGTAAGTAAAACGAAATATTTAAAACTTTTCATCTGTTAGTGACAAAAGGATTTGATGCAAGAAACTTTTTGAAACATGTTGCACAAACAACACATATTTTATGGGCTACTAAATACTTCGATCACGAACACGGCGTCCAATAATCATAATATTTCTAAAAATCTTACTTTATATCTATCAAAAAAATGACCTTAACGAATCTTCATTTTCCGCGCATAAATAAGAAAAACGCTTTTGAAGTTGATAAGAATTAGTGGAGAGAATTGTTGTTGCAATATTTTTCTCTTCTCTATAATGCAAATAACCATCGCATAATCAATACGAGATTAATTTTATGCAATTTTCCAATTTTTCTATAGATTTTTCCTTATTTGAATGAGATGATGTCAACGAAAAAGAGAATAGAATGAATAAAGAAAAAACACAATCTTTATTGATCGTTGAACACATCCTTATTTTTCGAAATGATTTCACAAAGACAAGTGGCTTCGATAGATGTTTACTGTTCCGTTAACAAAGTTTTTTATTCATAAAAGAGAGAGAGAGAGAGAGAGAGAGAGAGAGAGAGAGAGAGAGAGAGAGAGAGAGAGAGAGAGAGAGAGAGAGAGAGACAGAGAGAGAGAGAGAGAGAGAGAGAGAGAGAGAGAGAGAGAGAGAGAGAAAGTTCTTATTATTATTATTATTTATGACGACCGATGTTTTTTTATAATACATAAAGTGGCATTATCTCTAAAACTTT